CTCCTCCTAACTCTAAATAAGCGTCTCAGGAATCCGCAGATCCGGGGCTGCGGAGGGCCAGGACGGAGGAGGTGGCACTTTGCAGCCTGGCGAAGGATGGAAGTGGCTTGGGCAGTTGGGTGAATCAGTCTTTCCGATGCTTGTCTTGAGCAGGCGTTTTTAAAGTCGCTTCGGATATTTATTTCCCTTGGCTGGAAAGTTCTCCCTTTTAAATAATAATAATAATAAAATAATCCTACGAGTTTACTACACGTTGTTGCCCCATGGCTGTGGGTCAGGCCCGCAGCAAGGGACGGCTGAGCCCTAGAGCAGATGTTCGCACATGCAGGCTGTGCTTGGCAAGGGCAGCTCTGCCCCAGGAGCTGCTGAGGAAACGGCTTTCAGCAACAGGCTGAACATCTGGGTTGCCACGGGGCTTTGCTTTTAGAGGGGTAAAAATGTCTCCCGGCTTAATGCTTTGCAGATGTACCTGTTTAATTTGATTTTTCGCAAGGACTGACACCTTTGAAAGAAATCCCTCGTGTACGTGGAGCCGCCCTGTGTTTTTTGCCGCTTTATTCACCTGGTTTCTCAGAGGAGAGAATTTCCCCTTGGCAGAGGAGAAACCTAACATACTTTAATATATTAAGGCACCAAGGGGCTCGTTAATACCATAATGTGGCTTCTAATTATTTTCTCTCGGGGTGGGAGCAAGCCACGCTGGGCACTGTTCACTGTGCTCTATGTGAAGAGCGTTATTGGGCTTTATTTTATTTTTTTTTTTTTTAATTCCAAAGTGGCTCTTTTGAACTCGAGGTGCTATTAATTCCTCGGCAGCAACAAAGAGCAGCAACAAAGCCGGGTGGGAATGGAGGTACAAGGGAGACACGAGGCCGATCTGGTCCCCAGAAGGGAGGAGGGAGCCGGAGCATCCTCGGAAAGCTCCCGCCTGGCTGTTCCCTGCGTGTGAAATAATTAGTCCGATTGTCCGCTTCCTCGTCAATGGGAGGCTGGAATGGATGCGAAGTGATGCCTTCATCTGGCCTTTTGACGGCGATCCATTAAATTGCTGTCAAGCTGCACGTCTCTCACGTAGGGGCTGGGAAAGTCAAGTCGTCGCAGGCGGCTGGATGGGCAGAGCCAGGCGAGGGGAGGAGGCTCGGGTGGGGGATGCTGGAGGAGGAAAAAGGGGCTGCTGGAGGAGAAAAGGGGCTGCTGTTGCTTTTCTCTCTCCCACCGCTCCAGCTCGGCGGACGAGGGCACGTGAAAATACGTCGGCGACGTGCAGGCAATAAACCACAGCTCGCACGTCGGCAGGGCGATATCAGTTACGCACACGCGTGTGTGTGTGCGCGATGCGCAGCGCAGAAAGGCGTTCTCGGTGCATCAGGTGAAAGGTGTCAGGGAATTGCAACGGGAAGAAGCTGGAAAAGGGGAATGTGAGGCTAACGTAGAACATGTGGCGTGGGCTTGCGGGAGCGGGAAGCGCGTGGGAACGCTTCTGAAGAGGAGACAGTAAAAATGTCTGAGGTGGGGAGGTGGCTATTTTATCTAACCTTTTATAGAAGCAAATTTCCTTCCTTTTTTTTTTTTTTTTTTTTCTTTCTTCCTTCCACTCCGGTGAAGCATGAGAGCGCATCGGCGCTGACTTTCTAGCAGATAGAAGGCACAAGTGACACAAGCTGCTTCTAAATATCCTGATTGAGCCTTTCAAAAGTCATCCCTGACCTTGACTTACCTGGATAGATGTTGATAACAAGTAATGAATATGCATTGAAATCCCTGATAGCTTTCCAGCAGCGGTGAAAAGAAGTGATGAATTAGGTCTTTGTGAAGCACCGGGAGCAAAACACTGGGTTTTGTTTCATCCCTGATGCAAAGTTTCCTGGAGGCTTTTGTGATTTAGCTTGGTTTGGGCTCAGGTTCCTGATAAAAAGTTGCAGGCTTGATGCCCTGATGTTTTGGGAAGTGCTTCCCAGGTGCCTAAACAGATGCTTTTTCGGGGTCCGAGGGGAACCTCGATCTTTCCTTTGGCAGCAAACTGAATTGGGGAGAGATTCCTCAAATACAGGTGTTTTAACTCCTGCAGCATTCTTTGGAGGTGGCACATTTGCGCCAGTTCTGGGGCTGTCTGGAGCCAAAGGGACGGTGAACAGTACCCAGCATTGTCCCTGTCCTCTCGAGTGCTATTATTTTAATGGCCCCAAATCCTTTTGGCTCTGCTCTTTGAGATCCTTTGTCCGCTGGCAGGTAGGGAAAGGAGGAGTTTCTCTACTCAGGTATTATTCCTTCCCTCCTTCCCTTTATTTAGTATATGGTTGGGTTTTGTGCAAAAAAAAGGCTTGCACCCACATGGATTGGTTGAGGATGTGAGACTGTTAGAGAGAAAAAAAATATTTTTCTGGATACGTTGCACAGCTCCCAAACCCCGGTGTGCAAAATCAGCACTTGCTGCTGAAATTAATGGGAGCTGGCCCGGGCTTTTGAAAAAAATGGCAAAGGGAGCGAGCGTGAGGGCAGCTCCAGCCTGAGGAATGTGGATTTTTTTTTTTTTTTTTTAAATCTCTTTTAGATCATTTTCTCATCTCTTATCTGCTGAGTTTGCTATGGTGAGACAGCCGGGCAGATGATGGGTGGCTCTTCTCTGCCCTTCTGGGCACCAGCACTGTAACTCTTCCTCGTGGCCTTAATTCAGTCTCTTTAGCTGTTGGATTTTTATTTTTTTTATTAGCAGGAGAAGGAAACGGCACGTGCTTTGCATGATTTCTGGATACCTTTCCATTTGTACACCCTTCCCAAATCTCTGCTGAGACAAATCTACCCTAACCCACCACCCAGTCTGCATCCCCGGGGAGCCCCTCGCATCCCCAAATCGCTCTGCCGCCGTCCCCTGGTCCCACCTGCGGGCAGCTGGGATGGGCAGGCAGAGCTCTCCGCCCAGACCATAATTAAGCTGTGTTTTTATGGCTCTGCCACCAGTCGCTCACTCCCTGCATTCCTTTCCTGTGAGGTCTGTGGCCTCACCGGGTGGATTGAAGGGTGGGTGAGAAATCCCCCGGAGGGTCGGAGGGCTCTTGGCTTGTCACGCTGGGGGCTGGCTAATCCAAATTCCATTAGGCATCGTTAAGATCTTCCTTTCCCCTATTTAAAGTGCTTGGCTTTGCGCCTCAGCCTTTCCCGTGTGCAGCATCATGTGAGAAGCAATTTCTCAGGGCAAACCCTGGAGAGGAGCGGGGGTGAGACACGGGAGAGGGACGCTGCCACATTACATGGTCCATGGGGTCACGCTGGGGGCTGGCTAATCCAAATTCCATTAGGCATCGTTAAGATCTTCCTTTCCCCTATTTAAAGTGCTTGGCTTTGCGCCTCAGCCTTTCCCGTGTGCAGCATCATGTGAGAAGCAATTTCTCAGGGCAAACCCTGGAGAGGAGCGGGGGTGAGACACGGGAGAGGGACGCTGCCACATTACATGGTCCATGGGGTGTGTGGTCCCTGCCACATTACATGGTCCATGGGGCGTGTGGTCCCGATGCATCCCGTGGCGCTGCGGCTGGGCTGTGGAGGACTAAAAAAAAATCCCAAACTGCATTCCCAGTCCTATAACCTCAGCAATTTCCTCCAAATTGAACTAGGAATTTACTTTCTAAAGGACTAATGGGGGGAAAAAGCAATTCACCTGGGCAGCCTGGCAGCTGATTGTCTGCATTTTGGCTATGACATTCAGGTGAATTGGAGAGGAGTCACTAAGTGATGCCTCTGGATTTATTTCCAGCTATTTGACATGGACCCTCTTGACAACAATAAAAAACCCCAGCTTAAAACAGGTTTATGAGGAAAAAGGGATAAGTCGGTCATATATCTGCTTTTAAATGCCGGGGGTTCACGTGTATCAGCTAAAAAGCTAGCGAAAGTTTTTGGAAGGTGCTCTCTGTGGGTGTAGATCTCAGTGCAGACCTGGTATTTCAGCACAGCAGCCATATCTGAAGTGCTCTGCTGTGAGGACTGGACCAAAGTCCTTGGTCATCCTCTAGGTCTTCGCAGGATTGACCAAACCACAGGAACAGGGGGTTGTGTTTGCCTTTTTTTTTTTTTTTTTTTTTTTGCAAATGGGGAAACTGAAGCACAGAGGTCCTACAGGGAGCCTGGGGCAGCTGCTGGTTCCTTGCCCACTTTGCAGCCATCAGGATGTTCTCCTCTTGCTGTGGCTGTCAAGCTGTGACTCCTGTCGCCTGTTTGGGTGGCACCAGGGTCAATTTGGGTCAGCATGGCTTAGCTGGGGCTCACCCGTGGGTAGCTGTGGAGCTGTCCACCATGCCTCCTGTTCTGACATGTGCTCGTTCAGCAGATCCCATTGCAAAAATGAGTCAGTGGATTTGCCTGATCAAGGTTTTGGTTGTCCAGGCTCATTGGAGGGAGGTGCAGGGGAGATGCCACAGAGATGGTGGTGCATGAGGAGCAGAGGCATTGGGTTTCCTCCAGCTGCTGAAGGACCTGGGGGAAGGTTGGGTCAAGAGCAAGTGCTTTGTAGTGTTACGACAAGATGAGCTGGAGGATTAACAGCTGCTCATGCAGTGTTTTCTTCTCTTCCTTGTAGCCTGTGGGCCGCAGCTTGCCAATTCCCCCACCGTGATAGTGATGGTTGGCCTCCCAGCCCGTGGGAAGACCTACATCTCCAAGAAGCTGACTCGCTACCTCAACTGGATTGGTGTCCCAACAAAAGGTGAGGCTTTCACTGGCTGCCTGGGGAAAGCATGGGGTCTGGGCTCCTCAGGAATTGCTCTAGGAGCTCAGTGCCTTGGGGGGGTGGGAGGTAGCAGGGGATCTTTCCAAGATCCCATGGACCAAATATTCACATCCTCCTGTGGCTTCTGCTGCAGCTCAGGTTCTCCTTCAATTTGAAGACTAAGGGATGTCCCTGAGCCTTTTTCTCCAAGGTTGTCGCTTCTTGGCCCATTGCTAGAAAGCATTGTCTGTAGGAGCTGCACAGCTGAGTCGAGCTGTGCTGATGCCTGCTCCTGGTTTTGATGGTCTTTGCCTTTCCCACACAGTTTTCAACGTGGGGGAATATCGCCGTGAGGCGGTGAAGCATTATAGCTCCTATGACTTCTTCCGCCCCGACAATGAGGAGGCCATGAAAGTCAGGAGGTAAGTGTGGGCACTGTATCTGTGCTCATACGCAGGTCTCAAATGGGTGGTGAAGCCTATGGCCGGCAATGGAGTTGCCCAGCTTGTTTTGGGGGGTGATGGACAGAAAATCTGGGCTCTAACGTGAGGTTTCCCTACCTGGCTAAGGAGGGCCTGACTTGGGTGCCAAGAGCTAAAACTGAAGTTGTCAGGGCTTGGTAGCTTCAGGGTCACCAACGCATCACCTTCAGACTCAGTGATGTAGGGTATGAAGTCTGCCGTGAGGTTTGGCCTTTGCTTCTTTATCTGCCATTGCCTCTGCCATGAAGACCAGTGTACCGCTTAGCACGCATGGCTCTTGTATTTTTGGCAGACTGAAGGTATCTTACCTAAATGTCTGTGGGAGAACGGAGAGGGTGGCAAGGAAGAGCTGCAAAGCCTGTCCTCCTTTGCGGGGCTGCTGCACACATCTCTGAGGACATCGGGACCATGTGTCTCTCACCTCTTTTGCAGGCAATGTGCCCTGGCTGCCTTGAGGGATGTCAAGCTGTATCTGACGGAGGAGGCTGGCCAGATTGCGGTAAGCTCAGAGATGTGATCCATGGGGTTTGGCAACGGTCCTGGTCCCGAACAGCGATGTTTGCAGGAAAAAGGACCACTTGCTCACAGCATCGCTGGCCCCACTCTCACGAGGAAGGTCTTGGCGCTAATCAAAATCTTTGCTTTTAAAGGTTTTTGATGCCACCAATACCACGCGGGAGAGAAGAGGGATGATCCTAAACTTCGCCAAAGAAAATGGGTTCAAGGTTGGTACCATTGGGCTGCTGCTTGTGTTGCATAGTCCACATCAGTGTATTGTTGGTGTATCTTCTTTCACTAACATGTTAACCTCATGATGCTAAGGGAGAGTCACTGATGGGTTTGTTTAAAACTATGAATCTCCTCCATCATTCCCAATCCCCAGCCCCAGAGAAGGAGAAAGGATGGAAGTGGGGCAGAGGGAGAGCTCTTCGGTCAAGGAGGGAGGAGGTTGGGTTGAGCAAGGAGCTGGCTGAATGCTACAAACCTTATTGCTGGCCTTCAGGTGAACTTTGTTTTTGCTTTGCAGGTGTTCTTCATTGAATCTGTCTGCAACGATCCCACGGTAGTTGCCACCAACGTTATGGTAAGTGTGGAAATGTCTTGCTTTTGCTTTCCCTCATGTAGGATTTTCCACCTGCAACCGGCTGGTTTCTTATCAGAACATCTTGCCAGAGTTGGTTGAGGATTAGGAGGTTTTTATCTTTTTATGATGTATTTGTCCTGGGATGAGAAAGGAGCTTTTATCTCCCAGGACCCAGGGCCACCTGGAAGTAATGAAAATAAAAGCTGTTGTAGCCTTTCCCAGCTCCTTCTATGCTCTCTGCTTATCTGTTGATCTGTAACTTGATATTAAGGACAGAAAGCATTCAGGATGCCTTGGTGATCCCCCCCCAAAGTTCCACTTTTTGGAAGCGATGGATGTGGTTAGGGGTTTAAATCCCATCAGAGAGCAGTCAGGCTTGGTGTCTTCAGCCACATGCAGCTTCCCAAAATCTACTGGGGTTTGCTTTGACAAGAACAGAAGCTCAGCTTAGAGGTTTCTTGCCACCAGCTGCAGTCTTGGCTGGGATAGCAGCATAAAACATTGCTTTTCAATTCCTTTGAGGGCTGCTGGATCTTTGATTTCACACCAGCAAAAGAGCTCCTTTGCCTGTTAGGCTTGGCTAAGGCAAGTAGATGTTAATTGGTCTACCTATGGCATGATTAACTTGAATGAAAGTGTCCTTTCCTCCATTTGGCTTTGCTCCAGCCTCATCTCCAGTTCTACATCTGAACTTTGCCATTTTATGGTGTCTGGGAATTTGTCACAGGATACCCAAAGTCTGTGAGATGGGTTTTGTTCTGCCCCCAGGACAAGCTCCACAAAGGGTGCTGTGGTGGGGGCTCTGCTCCTGCTGGGAGCTGGTGTCCCATGGCCAGCGATCAGGTTTTTTTGGGGTTGCACGTGTTGCTTGGTTGCATTATGCTGTTCATTTCAGGATTGCTTGTGAAGTTACTAACATGTAACGCTGCTGCTCAACCCCAAATCTTCAGGAAAAATAGCCTGTTAGAGTTGTTCAGGCAGAACGTAGTCCATGAGAGCTCTGGATATTCACGTCACCCATTTCTGGCATCTTTCAGCCCCATAGCTTGTAGCAAATACTCCACAGACAGGGATTGAATGTCGTTATCCTGCTGCCTCTGGTCGGGGACAGATGGGTTAGGAGCTTTATTCACTCAAAAGGTCTGGGATCAGCATCTTGCCTAAGCTCATGAACTTTCCATTCTCAGCTTGAATTGTTTAAACCTGATGCTTTTCTTTAGCCACAAGAAAGCTCAATTTTCCCACTGCGTTGGGTGGTGAGGTGCTACCCCAACGCTTGGGAGAATGGGAGTGGACTGATGTGCATCTATACTGCTCATGCTATGGTTTATACCAGATTTTCTCACCTTGTGCTTAGTTTTGGGTCTAGTTTGCTTTTTTTCTGTCCTATGATAATTGACTATAAAGTGGCTCAGCTGTATCTTGGCAGGACTTTGAAATTTGAGATTAGCGTGGTCTGGCTTGGAAAGCTTCCTAACCTCTCCTTGCGGTGTGTTTTTTCCCGTCGCAGGAAGTAAAATTGTCCAGCCCTGATTACCGGGACTGTAATTCGACCGATGCCATGGAGGACTTCATGAAGAGGATCAATTGTTACCAGGCCAGCTACCAGCCACTCGACCCTGATGACTATGACCGGTAAGAAGCTTTTGCTGATTTCTGAACTGGCTTGAATGCCTTTCTCCTCTCAGGAGAGGAGTAACAAAGTATGGAGCTGTATTTCACTTTATGTTCAAATACGTGACTGTGCTAGAATAGTGTATGGCCAAGACTCACTGTGAATTCAGGCTTCTTCCTTGAAAATGCTGGTTTTCCTCAGCCCTGTGCCAGGGAGCCAGGCACTGAAACCTTTCCAGGCTCTTCTGGGCTCAGACATACTGGTTTCCACCTTGTTCCATAGATCTAAATACAGAGGGTGTGGAAAAGCGGTTGGGATCGAGTGTTTCCGAGATGCTTTTGTCACAGTCCCATTTAAAGGAAGAGACTGCTTGAACAAGCTCAAACCACAAGGTTGAGCAAGCCCTGTGGTTTCCACCTCGTTGTGTGCCCTCAGAAGACCTTTGCAGTCCTGCATGGCCATGCAGGCACCTCCCAGCCTTTCCATTGCTCACAAATACGTCCGTGTGCCCTGTGCAGATTATCCTGGTCCTGCTGAGCCGTCCTGGAGAGGAACGTGCTCCCTGTTAGTCTTGTTTAATCCTCTTTACTGCTGCAAGGAGGAATGGTGATTACACTGGTGTTACTTAGCTCTCCATGAATTGCCGTTACCTGTTGGCTTCCTGTTGAAAATAGCCTGCAGGAAATCCTTTTATCTTGGTGATTATGTTGACTGAGATACCTCACAAGGCTGTTTTTCAAGGATGGTGTTTCTTTCTTTCTGCTTTCCCCACTGGCACCCCCCTCATCCTTGCTGTGTTTTTCCTAGGGAGCTTTCTCTCATCAAAGTCATAGATGTTGGCCGGCGGTTCCTGGTCAACAGGGTTCAGGATCACATCCAGAGCAGGATCGTTTACTACCTGATGAACATCCATGTCCAGCCCCGCACCATTTATCTCTGTCGGCATGGCGAGAGCGAGTTCAACCTCAAGGGGAAGATTGGAGGTGACTCAGGCCTTTCCAACAGGGGCAAGAAGGTAAGAGGGAAGGGAATATTCCCTGTGGCTTCTAGGAGTGATTTGGCTGCAGTAGATGCCATGCTTTGGGTTGTATGTATTCGATGACAGCTGGAGTGCTCAGAGAATCCATCTATGGGGCTGGTTGAATCTGGGCTCGGGCATGGCCTCTAAGCAAGACTTTCCAGCCATCCATGTTGCATGTAGGCTTGCATGTAGTTAGGAGTTAACGGAGGTTGGACTGCAGAAATCTCTAGGAGAGAAGGGTCTGAGTATCTTCATCGAGTTGGGTCAGATCTTGCCCAGGCAGGGCGAGATGTAAAAGGACTGCTGCCACCCTTCGGTAGGGATAGCCAACTCTGAGGGTGCTTTCAGATTGCTCACTGCTTGATTCTTCAAAGACATGGACAAACGCGCTGCTTCAGAGAGGGTTAATAGCTATTTTTGCTTGCCAGACCGTTTTGAAGTCTAAATGGAAGTCATCTGAGGTGTGACTATTATCAAGAGCTACAGCATACATCAATTTAGCTCTATGACAAATAAACAGAGCTCCAGGGATCTTCCACAGCATTGTAGCAGAGTCCACATTGTGGTTGCTGTTTCTTGGATGCTGATGTTGTTCCTTGATGACATTAGGTTGCCAATTTCTCCTCTGCTTTCTCTCTGTTCTCATACCCCTCATAGCTTTTGGGGATCAATGCATTTGTGGCTGCTCTTCAACCTCAGAGCAGAAGGCTAATACAACTGCTTATGGAAGGCAAAAGAGGTCCTGGAGAAGGCAACATTTACCAGGAAGGAGGGAATAAGGCCCATTGGGAAGTTGTGGATCAGGAATCAACCTCTTTTTTTTTTTGTCTCACAGTTTGCGCTGGCTCTGAACAAGTTTGTTGAGGAGCAGAACATGAAGGACCTCAAAGTCTGGACCAGCCAACTAAAGAGGACCATCCAAACAGCAGAAGCTCTCCAGCTGCCTTATGAGCAGTGGAAGGCACTCAATGAAATAGATGCTGTAAGTATCTTTGATTGCAGTAGGAACAGCTGGATCATGCTGGTTGCTGCTTGGCAGAGGGTGGTTGCACCAGCCTTTTCACTTTTGCCTAAGTCTCACCTTTTGTGAGGAGATTTTCCTTCTGTGGGAAAGGGTGAAATTTCTGCAGTATTCACAATTTGGCTTCTGATGTTAGCTCTACCTTGTGCTGATGATGCTTCAAGATGTTGGCTTGAATGAGCAGATGAAAATATTTTTTGCTTGGAACTGACAACTCAGAGGGTTATAGACGATTGCTTTGGAGAAGGTTGTTGGGTGTTGCTGAGCTGATGCTTTTTGACTTGAGCATGCCCAGTAACCTCGTGGATGTCCTGTTCTGGCAGGGTGTGTGTGAAGAAATGACGTATGAAGAAATCAGAGAGCAGCATCCAGAGGAATTTGCTTTACGTGATCAGGATAAATATTACTACCGCTATCCTTCTGGGGAGGTAGGTCGGCAAGGAGACCTTCAGAGATGTGACTTTTACTTTAAACGTGGCCTTCTTGTCTCCATGCTGTCCTCTACACTTGGAGCAGAGGAGCAAGTGCTCCAAGAAATTAGAATCAAGAAGGGTCAGGGCTCCCTTCTACCTTTTGCACTGAGCTCTTGCGAAATCGTGGTACTTGAACATCTGATTAAGAAATAGATCACTTAATATCACTTGTTAGCAAACTAGTAGGATGCCTTCTTTCTTCTCTGACTAGAAGTAGCAGCTACATTCTAGAGTAGCCTGAAGATGAGGCTCTGTTGAACTTGTTTTTAGCAGTAATTATGTTGGTTTAGTTTAGTCAAGGGCATGAAATCAATAGCTGGACGAAGACAAGGACCATTGTTTCTTCTGAGGAGTGCCATTTCTTGATTCTATGCCATATCTCCCTTTCCTTCTTCTGTCTCAGTCCTACCAAGATCTGGTGCAGCGCCTAGAGCCAGTCATCATGGAGCTGGAGAGACAGGAGAATGTCCTTGTGATCTGTCACCAGGCTGTCATGCGCTGTCTCCTGGCATACTTTCTGGACAAGAGTGCAGGTGAGCTCCCTGTCCCTGAGAAGGGGATTGATCCTGCTGGAGGAGGGATGGTAGACAGAGCTTTGAGGAGATGAGAGGTGTCTTCAGGTCCATGCAGGGCCTGGAGCATGCGTCTCTCTGGTGTGGGATGGCCTTAGCTGTTGCTGAAGATGTCTAAGCCTGCTTTAGGAGAGGGAATGGGATAACCCTCCTGCTTTGTGTTCTCTGCAGATGAAATGCCCTACCTGAAGTGTCCCCTTCACACAGTGTTGAAGCTGACCCCAGTGGCCTATGGTAAGTGGAGTCTTTCTACTAAACATGCCAAGGGGTTAGACTTGAACCTCCTCCTGAATCCAAGCTGCCTCTGGGAGAAGAGCAGGGGGTCTGGGGTGGAGCACTTCAGCATCCCGTGCCCATTGGGTTTGCTGATGGCCTCTCTGTCTCCTTGTGCTCCCTTCTGCAGGCTGCCGGGTGGAGTCCATCTCGCTGAACATCGAAGCCGTCAACACCCACAGGGAACGGCCAGAGGTGAGTGTTGCTTTTCCTCCGAGCCATCCCTTGGTGTAACTCTCCTTTCCCCTATGGTCAGTCGGTAGCGAGGACCCCAGGGGGGTGGGCATGGGGAGATTGCTCCGCTGGATGCTCGGAAGTGCTGCTGGAGCGTCAGATGGGTTCTTTCTCTGCAAAGACGTGGCCGGTTGAGGGTTTTTGAAGGGAAAAGGACTGTTGCATGTGCCTGCTTCCCAGTGTGTTTGTCCAGATTAAAGCTGGCCCAGGGAAACCTCCTCCCTGGTCTTTGACTTTTGCCTGTGCAGTTATCCGCTCACCCGAGTGGGGAACGGAGCCATGAATGGAGAAGGTGACTTCTCCCAGGTCTCCCAGCTGGCTGGCAGAGCCCAGGCTCAACGCCTTGCCCAACATCTCCTGCCTTTGTGGTTTTTTTCCTGGCGTGCCCACGGCTCCGTGGAGCTAGCAGAGTGCTGTTCTGTAGGGTGGGAGGTGGCGGCGCTGGGCTGGGGATGATGTGGGGAGGAGACCCCTCGCATGGAGGAAAACCGCCTTAAGGTCAGGTCTGTCTGCCCTGTGCTCCACTTGGAGCTCGAAGGCCAGAGCAGGGGGATGCCAGCTTGGTGATGGCCACCCAAGGGGGACCCCAGGGACCCTGGCAATGCCCATGTCCCAGCCTCTGGGACCTTTCCAACTTGCGCGTAGCGGTGATGAAGCCTGTCTGGATGTCGGACAGTCAGAGCTGTCCCCTTTTGGCCCACATCTCCCTTCCTTTGCTTCCCAACCTCAGCGGGCAGCAGCATTCTGAGCCGCCTCCCCTGTCCCCATGGCTGCAGGTGGGGAAGCCGGTCCTTCCCCCTGCTGCGGGGACCATCCCCTTGCTGGGGATGGCTGGAGAGCCGTGGGCTGTGGGTAGGATAAGAGCAAGAGACATGCGAAGCGCTTGGGTCCCTCTGCTCGGCTGCCTTGCCCCTCCGTCCCACCTCGCTTGAGTTGGAGCTTAGCGCAGTGCTGACCCTCGCTAGCTGCTCTGCCCCCACTTCCCAAATCTTCGTTATCAGCTCCGGGCTGGCTCGTCTTCCCTCTTCTTGCTTTCACATCCCTCCCTGGGTCGGAGGGACCGGCTTCGAGGAGGAGACCGATGGGCGCCTCTTTCTGTCGTGCAAAGTCATGGCTTTTGATTACTACCGGGGTTTGGTGTTTTGGTTTTTTTTAGCGATCGATATTTACTTTTTTGTGAGCAGAGGCTCAGGTGAGGAGAAAGTCTGTCTCGTTTCTGAGTGCAGAGCTTTTTTGGGTTTTTTTCCCCTCCCTTTTTCGGAAAGTCACGCTGTGTTCTTGAACATTTTGCATTAGGGGTTTTTTTTTGGGTATCCAGAGCCTTTCAATTTATCCTTTGCACGTTGACAGCGATTGTGGGGAAAAGCAGAGGCCACTTTAAGAAAAAAACCCAAAACAACCTGCTTCTTTTTTTTTTTTTCCTTTATAACTGTCGCCTTCTTCCCTTTATTTTATTTTTTTTATTTACTTTTTTTTTCTTTGTCTCACTCTAATTTAGGAAGCAAAGAAGGGACCTAACCCGCTCATGAGACGTAATAGCGTTACCCCTCTAGCAAGCCCAGAGCCCACCAAAAAACCTCGCATCAACAGCTTTGAGGAGCATGTGGCTGTTTCTTCCGCCCTGCCAGGCTGTGTTCCTCAGGAAGTGCCCACGCAGCTGCCGGGACAAGTTAGTTGAACTTTTTTTTTTTTTTTCTTTTTTTGTTGTTATTCTTATTGTTTTATTGTTTGTTGTCCTCCTGTCGCTCCTGAAGCTGGGGAACAGCTTGCACTTGTCGCAACCCGTGCTGTTGTCTCTGAGATGCATCTTTCTCCCACGGCTGCTGTCCCTCCCTGCCTTGGGTTGGTTTCAGGACCACTCAGCGAAGGGTCACTGTCGATCCTCTCTTGGGTTTTGAGAGCATCGTGAACTCTCCCCAAAGCTCTAGGCTGCATTAATTTAGTGCCTTCACCATCTGGCATCATGGTGTCAACCTCCTGAGGAGCTGCATCTCTAGAGCGGGCAGGACCAAAGGGCTTGTGCCTTCCCTTCCTGGATGTGCTCGGCTCCGGTGTAGACTTGGGCATTGTAATAAAGCAAATGTTCTTGTGCTTCCCTCCAGAAGGAGCTGCCAGGACCCATCTTTGACTTGAGGGGTCTCCTCCGTCCCGGAGGAATAGGCAAAATGGACCAAAAATGAGTAGAAGCCTCTTGGCATGGTGAACCTGGTTGCCTTCTGCAGCCCTGGGTGAAACCTTGTGGGTAGCTGCTGTGTTGCTCATGTGTCCTCTCCGCTTTCACTCACCCATGAAGGGATGTAGAAAGGGAGACCTTGCTGCATGCTTCTCCAGGAACAAAATTCCCCTCCCTGTGCTCAGTAAGGAGCTGGGCTGCTACTGGAGAAGCACCATAGATATGTAGGAGCCCCTTCACTGTGCTGCCCTTCCCACCAACTGCTTGTTGGATCTCGCTGTCTTGCCCAGCCCCTCTTGGCATTGTTTGTGTTGTCTGGTGTCCCCTCGCCCCTCCTCAGCCAGATCCCGGGCAGGTTAGGAAGGGTGCCGTGCTCCTCCAGCTGCTCTGCTTGGTGGTCGCTTCGCATGGGCCTTCCCAGCAAGCACCAAGCGTGGCAACTCGGTCTGTCTCACAGCTTTTGGAGCTCCGCTTGGGCTGGTTGAGTCTTGCCACAAACCCTCTGCCAGCTTTCGGGTTTGGAAGCTCTCGCTGTTCGCGTGCCCCTCGCTGCCGTCCGGTGTCCTTCACCCGGTCTCGCGCGGCATTACTGACACCTCTCTCTCCGTTCTCTCTGTCTCTCTGCAGCCTTTACTAGGGAAGGCATGCCTGTAAGTACCTTCTTGCGTCTTATTCCCCCCCTCTTGCCCTCTTTCCATGTCTCTTGCCATCCCACCGGTTGTTTTGTTGTTGCTGTGAAACCCGCCGGGGTGCAGACTTGCTGGAGTTAATATTTCTCTGTGTGTGTGGGGGGATTTGCGGACGTCTTAGGAAAGGTAAAGAGGGGACTACAGGTGCGGCTTTGTCCAACCCCCAAGTATCCTAGCTTGATTCAATGTCCCAGTTTTGTTGAGAAATGAAGCTAATTACCACTTGCCCTCTATTGATGATGTCTAAATTCCCTGCCTCCTCCTTGGACAGTCACGGGATGGGAGATGCTCTTGGGTTTTCCTGGGGGTTACCTCCTCTTTGACAGCACGTTGTACTGTAAGTGATAGACCAGGAGGTCTGTCCTTCCCAGGGGCTCCGTGTTGTGTCTGTGAGTGGTGGCACCAGACTGATCTCTGGGTTTTTTCGCCTGCATGGGAGCAGGAGTGTGTTTCCTGGAGCTGGACTGATCCCGAGTCCTGGTATCTGCAGTTCTGCAAACCTGGATCTTGGGAACAGTCTGTCTAGGTGTCTTGGGCAGAGTAGATGCAAGGATATTGTCCTCTAGCTCTAGTAAGAAAGCAAGATGCCCTGAGCATTTAATGCACTAATTATAAATAATCAGGGCTTCGACTGGTTGGCTCAGGGCTGTTAGATCCTTGGGTAACAGGGACAGGACAGCTTCTGGATAAATTTGAAGCCTTTGGACTTAAATCATGCTGCACCACTGAGTTGAAAGCAGCAGTTGTTGGAAGCTGTGCTCAAATGTCTTCTCAAAGTCCAGGGAGACTTGGAGGTTGAGCTGACGCTGGGGTAGTGCCCAGGGGTCTTTTTGTCCCCTGTAGACCAGTTGAATCAGCCTATGTGTATCCCTGTCCTGGTTCGTTTTGTGGGTGAAGATGGAGGAATCTGCTGTAACATGGCCAGGCCTCAGCCCTGCTTGCACTTAACAGCTGGTTAAGCAAAGCCAAGTGTGATCTTCCTAACTTCCCTTTTTTCAAAAACATTGACTCTAAAAGGGGAAGAAATATGAGGTTCACCAGCTGTTAAGTGCATCATGGTCCTGGGTGAACGTAGAGGTCGAGTTGCTCAGCATGACCTGCATGTCTATGCTCCTTCCCTTGCTGCTCCCGAGCACAAAAGCCCCTAATGAAGTGCCTGGTCTTCTTGGGTAATTTTGAAAGCATTTCTGTTTCTTTTGTCCATCCCTCCATCCACCTTTTTCCCACCCATGTGGTAATAAAAAGCACTGCATGGCTCAGTGCTGGCTGGGACACTGAAAACATGCTCTGGTGTTGAGTTTGGGAGATGGCTGCATCAGGTTCTGCTAGACCAGGAGCTCTACTGGAGCAGGCAGTGATGGTACCCATCCCAGCTGTAGGCTGGCAGCAGCAAGTTTAAAATCTCCAGCTGCTGGGAGCCTGCTTCTACCTCCTAGGGCAGGACTTAAAGCCTGCTTTTGAGGGAGCAAAGACGACACCCCAAACCAAAGACTTAGTGTCAGTACCTCTCTTGGAGGCTGTTGCCTCATATGTGCATGTGTCTGGTCCTCGCTGTGTCCCACCACAACCCATACGAGGTGTGGGGAGGTTGGAGGTACCACCTTCCCAAGTTGCACCATGGGAATTGGTTGGCAGTGGGTGCTTTGTTGCATCAGCCCTCACTATTGGGGTCTTGACCCCCATCCAGGAGGACTAGGGGACACCTGAAGAGGCTGGGGACATGGCTGTGTACCTCAGAGTCCCCCTGACTGTGGGATCAAGCCAGTTTGGGGTCACAGGACTACCTGGCGTGATGATTTCTTTTTCTTTTGCTTGGTTTGTGATCCAAAGTGCACTTTTTAACAACGACCTGATCCCCTCCCTTCTTCTCCCCTTCACTTTTCATGCTTAAAGACGACCCGTTTGTCACTTTCTCAAAGTTTTCTCTTTACTAATATTTCCAAGGTAAATGGCTGCGGTGCATGTGGCTTCTCCTAACCCTCCTCCTGTCTCCTTAGATAACAGAGAACAGCTCAGCCTGCTCTGCCTCGTGGCTGGCTGGGATTCCTGGTGCTTGTAAGAGGCAGTTTAGGTAGTAAAAGCAAAAAAAAAGCAAAAAAAAAAAAAAGTTGAGAAACCTTCCTAGCTGTTTCCTAGTCCTTTTTTGCTCCCACCCCGTTTCGTGTAGTTTTGTGAACTGGGAAATGTCCTTGTTGTGATAATCTCCCCTTGGGTTTCTCCTCTAGCAGATGTTCTCCTCCAGCCACCACTTTTGGGGCTGGTCCTGCTTGTGTTTAGCTGGTTGTCTCTGGTTTTGTAGTCCTCACCGCGTGCTGGTGGGTGTCCGTTGTTGCCACCCTGCACCAGGGCTGTGTCCGAAGCAGCTCTATGGCCCATGAAACCTCATGGGGCATTATCGGGGGAGTAGGTTGCTCCTGTCGTACCGCTGGTGGGGGCTGGTCCCCATGCCGGCTCCTCAGCACGGCCAGTGGAAGCTGCCTCTTCTTGTCAGTGCCAAGGATGGACAAACAGTGACCTCCTCCTTGGTAGGCAGGGGGACACTGCCCACCCTCAGGGGAAGCAAGAGAAAGATGTTTAATTGGGCTCCTTGAATGAACACCGTGGTCCTCTGTCACCTTGCCTTGCACGGACCAAAGAGCAGCTTCAGAAGTGCAGACCAGGTGGGGTGGGAGGGTTGGGTTGTCTTGGTTTTAGCTCAGTTTTTATCTCTGCCAAATTCCCACCCTGTAGTTAAAGCCAAGCGAAGCTTGAGGAGAAGGGTATGGGTAGCAAGACAGCGCATCCCCCCCACCTCTCTCCTTGGGTGGACAGTGTCCTCTCCTCTGTGGTGGATGCTTTCGTAGTGACCTGTGCTGTGGCTTTCTGTTACTCCCCTGTCCCCTTGATGTGCACGTAGAAGATGCTGCTGGGATGGGGTCTGACCTGAGCGCAACCCCCAACCCCAGTCCTTCCTCTCTCGTTGCAGAACATGAACAACTCGCAGAAGCCGTCATGACTCTGTGGGTGGACAGTGTCCTCTCCTCTGTGGTGGATGCTTTCGTAGTGACCTGTGCTGTGGCTTTCTGTTACTCCCCTGTCCCCTTGATGTGCACGTAGAAGATGCTGCTGGGATGGGGTCTGACCTGAGCGCAACCCCCACCCCCAGTCCTTCCTCTCTCGTTGCAGAACATGAACAACTCGCAGAAGCCGTCATGACTCTGTTGGCGCTGTCGCGACACCACCAGTGACGCCACCGGCGACGCCAGCTTCCCATCCCATCGTCATTTCTGAAGCTTGCTTATAAACCGATCTCCTCCGTCTGCAGCGAGGTCGACCCTCGGCTGTTTCTACCCGCGCCCGTTCATCTGCAAACCGCTCTGCTGAAAGGGGGGAGAGATGCAGGAGAGCGGAGGAGAGGAGCTGAGCTCCCCGGGGTCACCACCCCATCTTTAGGCCGCAGCGTTCGCTCTCCTCTCCGGCGTCCCGTTAGATCGTAGCAAGTTGTAAAGTGCTTCTAGCGCACAGGAGTTTCATTTTCCTCTGTAAGCGGTTTTGATCTGCTTTTGTATAGGTGATTGGTACCCATCTGTCTCTGGGTGGGGTGTATATATGTGGATGGTGCGGGGTTAGCAGAGAAATAGAGGGGGGGGGGGGAGCAAAGGGGTTTTGCTTTTTTTTTTAATTATTATTATTAGTAATATCAATTACTTTTCAAGAAAGCCCCTAACGTGCTGTGCTGCAGTCCTTTATCCATGCTACAGCCTGTCGAACACGCAAGCCTGGCTTACCCAGGCCGGTGAGCACTGGGAAAGCAGTTGTGTGAAGTCCTTCACAGTGAGTACTGCTGGGTTTAACAAAAAAACCCAAAAAAACCCCCGAAACCCACCAAAACATTCTTGGTTTTTTGTTTTGTTTTAATCAG